ACATGCTATGTGTATATATAACATATAATTCTATAACTATAATTCTTACTTGTTGGCTACAATAGAAACACAAATATTCTAAATATTCTTCAAGTTTATACTTGTAAGAATAATATATTCGTATTCAAATGAATACTCAAGGAGTGTAGTGACAACAAAATTTCATACCTGCTTGAAATTTGTAACTGCTTTAATGACAGGAGAAGCTGTGATCAGGAGAATCTCTTCTGATGGAAAGTTAACAGCCAGCTTTAAAAAAAGAAAAGAACAAGAGAGAGAAAAGAGGTGATGAATAACGTAAGGTTTTGCTCCAAGAATGAGGTTGGGGGGGTGGGGACCATTCAATTTTAATAATGTTATTACTGCAGAAAATTGAAAAGTCCACTTTCTTCACTGGTCAGCATTATTCTGGTCTTGTTTCTATTACAGGGCAGTAGTGAATAATGGTAAAGGTATGCACTGCGTGTGCCTGTCCTGGGGCTTGAACTCAGGGCCTGGGCGCTGTCCCTGAGCTCTTTTGCTCAAGGCTGGCGCTCTACCACTTGAGCCACAGCTCCACTTCTGCTTTTCTGGTGGTTCATTGGAGGTAAGAGTCTCCTGGACTTTCCTGCTCAGGCTGGCTTTGAACAGAGATTCTCAGACCTCAGCCTCTTGAGTAGCTGGGATGACAGGTGTGAGCCACTGGCGTCTGCCTCAATAATGCTGAACTCCTACATTGAAGAAATAAATGAACCTTTAACCTTTAACCAAGGCCTTGTGAACAAGAAATGTTGTACAAAAGAGCATTCTTTCTTTCAACTATTCTATACGTGGATTTCTCACACAGGTGACGGCAAGCTGCCTTCAGAAGGTCTTTTCTTCTGTACCTGGTTCATTTTTCCATATTCTTTGATACTTGGGGAAAAGACATCACACCTTTAAGCTGCTCCCTACCAATGCAGCAGTCATTTTCAAACAGTTCACCCGCTGGTAAAACGGTTAAATTACATCTTCTGTGATACTAAATCCATCGCAGGGCATAAACATGCGGCTGACATTTGAATACTTGCTGCCAAGTACAACCCTGGCGTGATACACGCCTGCTTCAATAAACAAAACACTTAGCCGGGTGCTAGTGGCTCACGCCAGTCATCCCAGCTACTCAGGAGGCTGAGATCTGAGGACAGGGGTTCAAGGCTAGCTTGGGCAGGAAACTCCCTGAGGCTCTTATCTCCGAACCACCAAAAAGCCAGAGGTGCAGCTGTGGTTCAAGGGGCAGAGCACCAGCCTTGAGCACAAGAGCTCAGGGACAGTGCCCAGGCCCTGGGTTCAAGCTCCCAGGACTGGTACGCGCGCACACACACACATGCACACACACACATGCACACACACATGCACACACACGCACACACACATGCACACACGCACATGCACACACACACACATGCATGCACACCACTAGATGCACTGCAAGTTCACAGCCCAGGACCTGCACACTGGCTGGCGCCTTGTGAATTAGTGAGGGTGTGAGCAGGCCTTATCGCTCATCTGGAAAGGAAGTTCAGCCAACTGAGGCAAGTTACCAAGTGGGGCTGAGGTTTCTCTGTCCCAATTAAAAAGCAAACAAACACACAAAACTTTGGCATCCTGGACGCAGCCTGCTTTGCTCTCTTTCTCCCGATCCTCAAACACGGGGACGTGGAACCTTCCAGGCCCCACCAGGCCAAGGCCAACCTGACCCAGGCAGGACCCAGCTCAGCGCGGCCTGCGCCAAGCCAGGCCAGAGGCTCAGGGAGGGGGCGTGGCCATCCCAGGGAGGAGGCGTGGCCATCTCAGGGACAGGGCGTGGCCATCTCAGGGACGGGGCACGGTCACCGCAGGGAGGGGCGTGGCCATCCCAGGGAGGGGCGTGGGCATCCCAGAGGGACGTGGCCATCTCAGGGAGAGGGCGTGGCCATCTCAGGGAGGAGCGTGGTCATCTCAGGGAGGGGCGTGCTCATCTCAGGGAGGGGGCGTGGCCATCTCAGGGAGGAGGCGTGGTCATCGCAGAGAGGGGGCGTGACCACCTCAGGGAGAGGGCGTGGCCATCTCAGGGAGGGGCGTGACCACCTCAGAGAGGGGGCGTGGCCATCTCGGGGAGGGGGCGTGGTCATCGCAGGGAGGGGCGTGGCCATCTCGGGGAGAGGGCGCGGTCATTTCAGGGAGGGGCGTGGTCCTCTCAGGGACGGGGGCGTGGCCCTCTCGGGGACGGGGCGTGGCCAGCGCCGGAAGTGTTCGGGGGAGAGGGGCGGCGCGGAGACTTCCGACGCCCTGACTCCCGAGGGCAGCCG